GACAAGATATTGAGAGAAGTGAGTGACAAACTTATTTTCCACTCGTTATCAGTTTTGCCCACTATTTCAACAATTATTTTTAAAAAACATTGTTTTCAGCCAAATAACAGTGAATTAGCGGTGCGGACATTGCGTACAATAAACACTGGGATCAGTAATCTGTCGACGTTTGCCAACACTGTTTTGGGCAGAATTAATGTCTCCATTAATGTGGGTCTCAAACCCGAGAGTCCGGCCGTCAGGACTGAGAGTCCGGCCATAAAGCCTTAAATTATATTTACCGTAATTATTATATTTTGTAAACTAACATTCATTCTTTTAAGTATTATTTCTCATTTAATGTAATAATTATAAATTAATTGTATAATAAAACAATTGTCAAAATGTCTTTACGACGATTTAATGTTATATGAATTTAAATATGATTTTTGACGATAAATAAAATTCACAAAAATAGGTCACAAACTGAATGAGAGTAACAATTAACTGATTTTTAATAGATTTTGAATGAAAAATAAATTTACAGACAAATAAAGTGATGATTGAATTCAAATTACTCTCTATTCAGAAAAATAACTATCATTTCAGACATGGAGTATATCAGGCGTGAAGACACGGCAATAATCCATATGAAAATGTCGACCTATTTTTTTATCGCCCATTGAATCCATTGAATATCATTAGGAATAAAAAAGTTTGGGAGACTTTTTTAACTACAATTTTTGACAAATTATTGAAACACTTGAAAAAACAGGAAAAGATGACAAAATAAATTTATATTAAATGTAAAAATCAATAAATAAATACTAATATTATTGACACTGAAATGAGCAAATCCTAAACCAATTGACGGCTCTTCACGGCTAAGGTTTGGCAGTAGTGGTGGGAAAGAGGATATCTTTATTAAAGACCACATCTTTGGCGTGATTGACGTTAATTAGAAAGTCGTCGAGAAGTACGACCCGAAGTGCCGGATGTTTTTCAATCAATGGCCTCAGATTGGCCTCAGTTTCGCGCAATTTCTCCAATTTCATAGACTTTATGGCCAGAAGTTCTGGATCTCTACGGTCTGGATCTTGTAGTAGTGTTTTGCACACATAATCGCCGGCTTCCAGAGCCTTCTGGTATTTAGTGTACACCTCCTGCAACTCAATACAGTCGACGTGTGTTATATTCTCGCAAATGTCTCTCTCGTATAAATCTATTTGCTGTAAATCATTGGCAATCGTTTCGTTATTGATAGTCATTGCTTCCGATTCTGCTATGAATTAAGTGAGAAATTTTGAATTAAAAGTTTTTTTTAAACATTATTCCGGGTTTTATTACTCAATAGATTTAAAAGAAATATTGTTAAGATTGTTAGCAAAAACTTCATGGTATTAGTTGTGCGTAAAAATCACAGACGAATTAATTACTATAAATTACAAAACTTCACAATTGATTTATTAAAAACGATTAATGTAAGTTGACTGATTATTACAAACTTGGCGAATTTATCAATTTGTTTTTATAAATATATAATCACATTTGAATATACAATATAAATGTTAAATAAATTATTACAAAATGTATTGTGAATATAAAATGGTAACTGAATTGACTCACAAAATGATTAAATACAGGGATTAGTGAAATTGTACAGAAATCGTATCTAATCAGGTGTTATGTAATTATAATCACGAAACCGGTACTAAAGTATAGGAGGATTGCGTTGATTTCATTATAACTTTTGATAAATGTAATATTATTATCTAACTTTTACGGTACCATGATCAAACTAATATTCATTTGTAAGTAATTAACATGATATATTAAGTTATTTGCACTCTGTATTAAAATTTATACAAAAATTTGTTAAATATCACAAATAAATTTAATACCATTATTTCAGACAATAGTTGTAAAATTATTGGTATTAAAAGACATTCCTATGAAGTAATTGATAACAAATTAATATCTATATAATTCTCTGATAATAACTATACGTTTCAATGTCTTGTGAAATCATTTTAAATGTCAAATATTTTGTATCAATCAATCAAATCGTAAGAAAATATTTAAAAAACGTTAAAATTTTTTATTAATTTTTAAAACTCAATCCAAAAACTATAACAATTGTAATAATAATTAAAACAAATTTTTAAGACGTGAGAGAAAACCTAATAATTACAATAACTTATATATTCTTCAGTTATATTTATAAATAATTTAAACAATAAATATTATCATTAATTATTGACTCTTGATTTCAACATCAAATGAAAACAATTTCATCACATTTGGTGTGTTTTTGTCGTTGATTTTCATGGTTTTTGACTTAAATATTAAGTCCACTAATCAATCAATCAATCGATTGAAGCACTGATTTATTATTGGGATTGCGATTCAAAGCTCGTCTTTTGTCGTCGGTTTAGTCTCGGAGTATTTCGTCGACTTTTTCGCGGCGGCCGTCGCTTTCGGCGCCGCTTTCTTATCACCCGATTTAGCGGCCGATCGTTTGGCCAAAACCGGTCGCCCGACGCCACCGGTTGTCGTCTCATTAAAGTGTGTCAAAAACTCGTGAATCGATTCTCGGCTCAATCGCTGATCAAACGATCGGGTTTTGGCCAAAATGAATGTCCGCAACAGCGATATCTTCACCACATTCTGTCTCAACGCCCGTATTGTATGGACCAATCGATTGGCCGCCAGTTTGAGTTCTGAGAGTTGGGCCGACTTTTTGGCGGTCAACTTCTGACCACTTCGGCCACGAATTTCGGCCCACTTTTCGCGCACTAATCGCAACTCTCGCTGGCGATGGTTGAGTGCCCGCAGCGTCTGTCGCCAGTGTCGGTGACTTGAGTGGAGATTATTCAACAAACACTTGCGATTACATAACTGGAGCGACGCCTGGAGGCGGACCATCGGATGCGAGTGTGTCCACACAAATTGCACTAAACTACTGGTCGTTATCGACTCGTTGGCCGGAAACGATACGCTATCCATTTTCCTGGACATACATTACACACACATTATAATAATGTCCATAATTTTTATATAACAAAAACACAACAAACAAACAATACATACCGTTTGGCCGGAAAGAACATAATCGTCGGATATCTGTGTAAATGAAAATAAATAAATTTAAAATTGAGTCCAAAGAGGTGTCTGTGAAGAGTGGGTGTAATACCTGTCAACGGTGTACTCCCAGGGAAGGTCGTTGGCGTCACCATTGATTCTGTTAGCAAACAAAACAAAAAATATCACTCATTATAATCATCTAAAAAACAAATGTCACCAAAAAATAATCGACGAAATGGCGACACAAACCTCGTGAACACAACGCCCTTAACGTCGAGGAAAAGTCGGGCCACTTCTAGGTATATGTGAGCAATTGTTGAGCAAAAGCCGCACCACTGGGCGTAATACATGACCACAACGTCTTTGGACGGGTCGAGCACTGATCGCGTAAACGTATCGCTATTCAGTTCGGGTACGCATATCACACGTCCGGCGCCACCGCCACTATCGGCCGCCACACATGAGCCAGAAGTGGCCGGCGATGACGTGCTCTTCAAAAATCGGGGCAAAGATTGTGAGGTGAAGTTTTTCACAAACTCCACGAGCGATCGTTTGCTGATAGTCTGGGCGTCGCTCATATCGTTGGTCAACACGTGTACCAACTCGTTGGCCGCGTCCACAATCACGCCGACTGTGGCGTGAGTTTCGTTGAATATATCGATACCGATATTCTCGGCGAACGCGGGAAACAGTATGGAATCGATGGCCGCGAATCGGAGCGTGCGATTGGCCCGACACGACAGACCCGTGAAGTTTGCCCTCCAGTGTTGCTGCTGTTGGCCGTCGGCGCTGTCCGGGAAGTTGAGGTCACTGTATTTGAGGCCCAGATTGAGTCGGTGACAGTGTTGGAGCTCAGAGTTCTCCACCATTTTGGCCACCGTTTCGTCGAACGATTGTTGCGAGTCTTCGGCGTTGGCGCCGGTGATGAAGTACTTGTCGCCCAACTCGTTATGCGTGGGATGAGTGCCGGAACAAGTGGTGACAATGCGATAATACGAGGTATACTTCGGCGTAAACGAGAACTTGATTTGATTGCAATACGAGGCGGTATTGTTGGCACTGTTGGGATCAAAGTCGGTGAGGTATCGGGCGGCGGTGGCCAAGCAGTTGAACCGCTGACAATTGGCCGGACATTTGGCGAGACTCAAGTGGACGCAAGCGGTGCAGAAGCACTTCTTGTCGCTGGCTTTGCTCGACGGCCGCCAACGGACCACTTGTGAGTGACAGCACGTGTCGCCGTCCAGTACTACCCGTTTGGCCGATGATGTATTAGCGGTGGTGATGGCGGCCATCGGTTGAGCCATTTCGTGACACTTCTCCTCCAATTCCATCAGTTTTTCTTCCAATAAGTGTCGCCGAAGAATACTTCTGTGTATTACCGACCGAATGAGTGGCGAGTTTTCGCAGTTATAGTAATCCATAACCACTTCCCGTAACTGATGGCCAACAAAATCAAATACACATAAAAATCAATGAATGAATCGCTGTTTTGCAGGCAATCACTACTCACGACATCGAAGTACGGAGAGATCCCTAACACAAAACTTCTTGGAGTAAACAAAACAAATGTGGGATTTTTGGTGATCACATCCGACAAAGCGCTGCTCTTAATACCCGACGGTGTGAGCCATCGGAGTGTCTGCGTCTGGTGTACGCGACTGTAAACCCAACTCAAAATTGTGGCCGTTTTGATGGATTTGGTGCCGAAGTGTTCGGTCGTATTCCAGAGGAATAGCGTCAGCCGTTGGGGTTTAGCTAAAGATAGTTTCACTGCCACTCGACGGCTGGATATCACACAATAGCATACTGTCCGCCACGGGTCGGACGCCAGCGCTTTGACAGCTGTCGAGAAGAATTGCTTATAACCGGGCGGTTGAGGCGATTCGTTGAAATCAAAGTATCCAATCAATATGGCCTACAATTGAGAGCACAATAGTTAACGTGATATTAGTATTGAGAGTTAATTGTGGCGTAAATTTACATCATGTTTGGCCCTCAGGTCCAGCAAATCGCCCTCATTCTGGACGGGTATCACCGGATCGAGCAGATTGTCCAGAAATGGTATCATATAACTGGCCATCACTGGGCCCTTGTACTCCACTTCGCCGGCCATTCGCACGTGAGCTAATAGTACGGGATATCGACGGAGATTGTAATGTTGTCGACACTGGCCGTCGGGGAACCAACAATTGATGGCCGCGAAGAATATCTGCATTTCATTTTTAAAAATGATTAATATTGTAGATATGGCTACACAATAACCACAATTGCATACCTGATGTCGATAATGTTTGGCCACTGTTTCAAACTCCTTCTTAACCCGAATGCATTCTGAATCCCAGGGGGCGTCTGGAAAGAGGGGTAAACACATCGTCAATAAAGGCATTTTCATATTATCATCATTTTATCATGTTTAATGTTTAGTGTTATGTATAATTAGTGTTTAATCGGCATTATATTTACAATACATGACGAATGAGACATCGTTTTGAAGGGCCCGAAGGGATAGTTGTTGCAAATCTCCCGATTCGTAGTCAACGATCGGCAACAGGTCTTCGTCGAAGAATTTGGTGGGCAGTGGAGACTTACGGGTGCGAAGACCTCTGCAAACAGACAATCAGATAATTGTTTTGAAAAATGTTTTAAATGTCTATACTTTATAACACATGTGTATTTCACAAGTATCTAAATTAATTCAATAGTTTGTGTGTTTTTCGTGAAACACATGTTAATTCATATACTGTTATAGAATTTGTATGTAATTATAGCTAACATTGAGATTCTGTTCATATGTTATCTGCTTTTAGTTTAAATAACTTTTTTTATAGTAATTACTGATATATTAATTATGAAATTATCCCTTCAATGGACTGTTAAGTCGACGTATCATTAGATAAGAAATATTTACAAAAAAAGTTTTGCTAAACTTTTTTCCACATTAATTGTTGTTTAAAAATTTAATTGTAGGAAAATATTATTAATTAACGTCTAAATCGAGGTATTAATTGCTTTATTATGCTTTTTATATGCAAATAATGAAAATGCAATAAAAATACTGCAAATATTAGTAAATAAAACATTGTTTAAAGGGAAAAGTTATTACAAACATATGAAAAGTCGACAAATAAATTGCAAAACAAAATTATAACAAAATTATAAACAAAACAAAAAAGTTTTTGACAAACAATATATAAATTAATGATGAAATCAATAACAAGTGATTAACACAACAAAAACTTTTGGGATCACAAAACATAAGGCATGCATCAAATGATATGACAATCACCACCAGTTGGTCCCAAAGAACCATCAATTTAACACGTGCTAAAACAACTCACCCGCTATGGATTGCGGCCAATAGGGTGACAATGACGGCGAGCACAAGTGCGACCATGGCCAGTTTACTTTTCTGGCCCATCAAATCCATCACAAACTTTGCGCACGTGTTTACGTGCGATGAGAGGGCCGGACGTGTTATCTCGTCGTTGCGATGATTACAATGGTTGCGATGGTTGGGGTCGTGAGGGGTGGTGTGCTCTGTGGCGGGTGTGCTGTGATCGGCGGTGATGTCTGTGTGGCCGCAATGGTTGGCCACATGTGCGGCACCGGTGGTGAGGTTGGTGTAGGACTTGTTAGGTCTGACTCTAACACTAATACTGATATCATTGGCGTTCATCTCATTCGCCATATTATTGTCGTTGCATTCAATGTCTATTGAATAGCAATAATATGTATTGCATTTCGCATTCACACCGCTATCTATGGGTAGCCTATCGTTCAATGCATTCATTCACTGCTAAATTCTTGAGACACTATTTCTTTTGCCAACATTTTATTTCACATTTTCTTCTAATTTCAGGTCATTTTTATATATCGTATAATTTTAAATGGTATTCAATATTTAGCATATCTTTGTTTGGGTCCAATAGTCCATAGCGTTCGGCCTTTTAGTATAGGTATACATACGTTAAGCCAAAACTTTGAATTATTATTGATTAATTGTAAATACGGTATATTCTGTAATAGATATTTGCCAGTTATTAATGTCTTCGTGTCGTATAAGTGACACACAATATCACAAACAATCACTTATTATATAAAATAATTAAATATTATTTACTGAAATATTTCAGGTGAATAAAAGTGATCATTTTGTGGTCGAAAACACATTTATTGATGAATTTTTTAATTAAATATTCACATGAATTACTGTTTCAAATAATGTCTCACAATTGTCAGCGAATAAAACAAAATTACTTTTTGGTTATATATATTTCTATTAATACTATTTGCTATTTATTTATTTATAACTTTATATACGACAGACATTTAGCCAAACTCTCGATTACAGAGTGTTTTATGTATCACTTTGTGGTTTATAATGAATTTTAAAAAGTTATTTAAAGTACAAAACACAATAAGAAAGTGAAATGTAGGCAAAAATGGTTTTCAAATATGATTCAAATCATTGAATTTATATCACATGCGCTTTGATATGTGATATTCATAGAAATATTATGGTAATTAAAACACTTAATAAATTATAAGTCGATATTTTATTTGTTAAACATTTATAGTAAATGTCTTATTTATAAATTATTTATAAAAAAATAGACGACTCAATTGTATGAAACATAATTTTGTAGTTATTTGATATGTTTTTCAGTGTTTCTTCACTTTATATTTGTGTTAAAAGTAATAAAACTTACAAAATTGTGATAATAAAAATGTAATGAAAACTATAGTAATTTACAAATAAATTTATTGACTTAATAATTACATAAACAATACGGTTATCTATATTTTGGGTTTGAATTATAAGACGGTTATAAAATTCTGGGTACAAAATACACACTCTTGTATTTAATGTTAAAGTACTATTATATTCTTACGATTAATGTTTTTATATTACTGTTAACCATAAATAGAAATATTAACCAATATTTGACATGGTTACTTAATTCTTGTTAAATTACAATGTATATTTATTTTGTTACATTTATCAACATCATTACATCACTAGTAATGTATTACTTTAGTATTTCTTATGGTCGTATTAATGATTATGTTTCAACACTTAACAATTTCACATGTAATTCAATAGTAATGCTTGAATGACAATAAGTTATTGTCATTAACTATCGGATATTTCATTAAAAATGTAATTATAAATCAACAAAAAGGGAAATTAAAGTGTCATCGATTTTTTAAAAATGTTTTAAACAAATTTATAGTCAAAACAATGCTATAATAATTGTATAAATAATAATTTAATACAAATAATAATTTCCTAATTATATAATCGCTAAAATTTCGTATGAAATTTCAAACATTTGTTTTTAGTGATAAATTCGTGTATTAATATTCAATATACAGTTATACAGTATGTAGTTTGTTATTTCAGTACATAGTTAACACATCTATAACAATAATTGCACTTTGTAATTTGTAATTTAAATCATAAAAATACTGGTCACTGACTCTGTATTTTACATACATTTTAGTTTAAATGTTTTGTCAAAACATCTAAAACTGAAACTTTGAGTACAGAATTTCACAAAACACTCAACTGATTGAAAAATAAGTTTGGATAATATATTGATATCTTTATCACTAAATTGCTCACAAATTGCACTCAATATATTAATAAGAGATGTAAAAATTACAAATAAATATATGAATTAAATTCTTTGTATTAAAATTAAATCAAAGTTTGTTTTGAAATTAAATTTAAATTTAATTTAATTGATTTTAATTTTAATTTTAATTTTATAAATTTTATAATTTTAAAAGAGGTTTATCTCAATCACTAAATTCAATCGATACCAACATTTGATTTCTTGATCCCAGAGATATGATTAGACAGTGTTTTGTTGCAATAGTAAATATGCAAAGATATTAATAGCGAAAAAATAAGTTTTTAAAAAATTTTAGTTTAAAAATGTTGAGTTCAATCAACTCATTGAGAGAGAGAGAGAGAGAGAGAGACGCAAGAAGGAGTAAAACACATCTCCAATACGCTTATCGTTTAGCGATTAGAAACTGGTTTTTCCTGAGTTTAACTCAAAAATTTCTTCAATTAACTCAATTTGTTTTTATTATACCATTAAATATGTTTCGTATTTATCATGTTTTCATTTCGCAAAATTTGATTTGTTTTTTCGCTATAAATATAAAAAGTTTTTAAAACTATTTAAAAATGTAAAGAATTTCACACAAAATCTAACCAAAAAATCTAATATCAATGCATAGGTTAATGAGTGAATTGAATGAAACACTTGATATATAGTCAACTAATAATCTTTATTTTTTAAATTTCAATATAATTTTGTTTAGTTTTGTTGTCGTAATTCTGTTGATAAATATACTGTTCATTAAATGAACAAAATATACTAATCATATGTAAATTTACTGTATATTTATATGTATGTTATAAATGAGAGAAAACCTTTCCAAACAACAATTATCTGTTAATTTTTGGTATTTATTTAGTTTTGTTGTTATTTTTATGTGAATTATGCAAACATTTTGAGAGCAATGAAACTTTGGTTTCGAAATTCTCAGCAATTTTTATGTTTTTTGTCATCTGTTATACAAATATAGATATCAAAACTCGACTCCAAACATGTCTTTCAGTATTAATACAATTTTTTCGTGAAAAATGTGAAAAATGATTACATATTTATGTTTTAAGACGTTTAGTGTTATTTGAATATTTATAGTTAGTGTTAAGTTATAAATTGTAATTGAAATCTATTAGAAAACAAGCATTATTAATAATATAACAGGGAGTTGTATCAATTCAACAAGATTAGTTTTAGAAAAACAGTTATAATTAAGTTAATTAATAACAGTATTTCCTGTACTAACAAAGTGTGCCTAAAAATGTGCGAAAAATGTATAACAAATAGGATTTTCTGGAAGCGAATGGAAGATTAAGAGTAGATTTCCCTCGTATTTGAATTCTAGGCGTGTTTTGTAAGACTTTTCATCTTCTTCTTTATGAGGCATTTGTTAATTGAATTAAATGTCAATTGAAATTATGTTAAAACAGATTTTCCCACTCAATGATAGGCTCGAGTGGGAAAATGATGTGTAAATTTTATATTACAATTACAACAGTAATGAGAAAAAATTCACTATATTTTTATTGGGATATCTCTGATCATTGAATTTTCTTATCTCTCACTGACTTTGAATTCAATTTATGGTTTTTAATAAAACTTTTTATATTTGTAGCAAAAAAACAAATCAAATTTTGCAAAATAAAAACATGATAAATACGAAACATATTTAATGGAATAATAAAAACAAATTGAGTTCAAATTTTTATACATTTCTATATATAAAACTCTAGTCCGTATTAAAAACTTTTTTATAACGTTAAATATCGAGAACACAAATACATTTTTCAAATGTTTCAGATAATAATCCCAATAATATTAAATTTAATTTACTTATATTTATATATTTATAACTCAAATGAGTGCTAAAATTCTGTATATAATATATAGATATTCTGTAAAATAACTGTACATTAAGTAAGTATTGAAATATGTATTGAAAAAATGGAAGAACTGTTTTATCTTAAGTACTGTTTGAGAAAAACATCTCTTTTTATGTCTTTTCTTTCGGAAAATTGTTAGACATTTGAAAAGATAGTGTCATTCGGTGCAGAAGACAGAGGTATGTAACGCATAGATAGCATGTGTGGGCACATCCACTACTTTCTTAGTGTAACATCTCCTCAGACTATAGGTCTGGCGCTCGAAGCCAAGCGTTTTGAGCAAATTGACGGCCGAATGGTTAGCGCTCGGGGTCTTTAAGGTGACCCCCTCGTCCAACTCGAGCATCGATAGACTGGACAACAGGTCACGCATTAGCATACGGGCGATGCACTCGTTGTCGGCGTACAGGGGAGTGATCATCCATAGGCCCTGAAGGTTGGGCTTAATGCAGCCGTAACCGACCACAGTGTCGCCCAAGAGGGCCACTCTCGCCCTGCACGCCGACTCCCGCACAGTCAGCCGCACAATCTTTGACCTGTCGTACGAGTGTAGCCGCCGGTCGTAAGCGCACAGCGCGGACATCAGGCTCTCATCAAAGGGTTCGGTGCGGAACTTACGCTGCGATACCGACACATAACACCGTTCGCTCAGATCGTAATTCAATTCATATATGGGTGTCGAGAGCGCGACGGTGTGGTCGTCGTCGATGTCGACACCGCCGCAGCCGAGACCACCGCCTCCGCAGCCGCTCTGGTCACCGGCGGCCGACAGATACTGGTAAAGCTTAGGCATATTGTGAAGCTTATACAAGTCGACTGTCCAGTCGGCCACATGAGAAAAGCCCGCTTTGTCGCGATACAAGTGGAAGAGGTCGGCCACCGCCGATAGGCCCAGGTTTCTGGAGCCCAAGTGTTGTATGGCTGCGTTCCAGATCTGTGTGCCGATACCAATGCCACGCCATTCAGCACTTACCACATACATGCCGAGGTAGCCGTGCGCTCGGCTCAGTCTCATTCCGCAACAACTGCCCAGAATTACGCCTACATATGGATAGAGAGTATTTACCATTAATACAGTTTTTGGTGATGTGTTCTCCCAATATGTGTCATAAATTGTTTAAATGGTTTGCTCTTTAGATATTGAACTAATTGTTTTTCAGTAATTACTGTGCGTTTACTCACATCTTGTCATTACATTGAGATATTGTAACCTATTTTTGTGTGTTTTGTTCAGACCATAAACGACAGACACCTTCTCTCATGATTTAATTGGCATTTCACTGGACTTCTAGTGCATTGAGAGGACACTCTCTGTATTTGTCTTGTTTAGCATATTGTTTGCTCA